AGATAGCCAATAAGAGTAAAACAAATTCTACTTTTTTGCAGAAAAGTGCAGTTTTCAATGTTTTCAAATCTCCATATTTTGTCTTTCGAGTATCATTATTAAAAAAGTAGCAAACTCAGACAAAAATAAGTGAAATGGGACTTGATTTATCCTGTGCCATCTCCAGTCTGTCCCCAGATTCCGTAGGGAGTGCAGTGGTACTACCAGAGGGCATGCTGGTACATCATACAGAATGGGAGCCAGTGATCCTGGATATTAGGACCTGGAAAAGATGGTGAAGAGGGTATGCCTTTAAATCAGTTAATTACTGAGTGTCCCACTAATCCTGGTTATTTGAGCATGTAGCTCTAAAGCAGATAGATTTAAATGATTTTTTTTCTTCCAAAAAACAACCTTCACTTCAAGTCATCATTTATTGGGCTGGATTTTCTGAGATGAGCATAGTGTTCTTATTAGTTGGCACTGATAGCAGCTGAAGATTTGTGACAGAAATAAGATGTAACGTTCCCGAGCATTATTACAAATTTGGGAAGTGGTAGCAGTTTATTTTTCCTTATCTCAAAGGCATGGGATACAGTACAGTTGAGAAGTCTAGCAAAAGAACATTCTGAGAAGTTAGGACTGACAATGAGTTTTTGACTGAGTGCCCAGGTCCGTGACACTCTGCCTTTCACGTTGCTTAGCAACTCCATGTTATCACAAAGAAACTGATATTAAGTTGGAACAGGCTGGATATGGTAATTTACGTGGGAAGATACTAGTTTCTCTTGAAGTGGGAAAACCATTTTATTTCTAGTTTCTATCAGCGTGACTTGGTTTCACATGACAGATTGTAGCACATCCCTCTTTGTGGACATTTTACCTAATAAGGTAAAGAGTAGCTCTGCTCTGGAAAGTGACTATGTAAAAATGACACCTTGTTATTCACTAGGTCTGCTCCCTGTCTATACTCGGATGTATCTACCAACATCGGTGACAAAAGTAGTTTGTTACAGCAGGTTACTGAGAGTGAGTTTGATTGTTAATAATTATTTATTATTTGTATTACTGTAGCACCTAAGAGTCCCAGTCATGGACTCGGACCCCATTGTGCTAAACACTGATCAAAAAGACAGTTTGTCTGCCGAAGAGATTACCGTCTAAATTGGACCCCCCCTTTTTTTTTTTTTTTTTTTTGCATCGTCAACAGAATTATTTACTAAATTGCAGTTGCACCTGTGCTTTGCCCACTGAAAGTAATAGGGTGGCACATGTGCCACTGGTTGCTGAATTTGAAGGTCATGGGACTACACAGGTGTAACTCAAGGTGCTGTGTGAGAAGGAAAGAACCCAGCTACTTTCAGATCTGTGGAGGAGTGGCAGTTAGGGGGGCAAAAAAAGTCTTTATTTATTAACTGAGCAAATTTGATCCTGAAAGTTTTGTGATACAATAAACATGGAGCCCCACAAGGGGCATTTTTATAGTGGGGGCCAGGGTTTGAGTGGCGGGAGAGGGTGCACAAGAGGCTTAGGTTTAAACACAGAATGCCCTTTCTGAGATTTCTGGTTTATTTCAGGAGTTTTGTTTTAATCAAAACAATACAAACTGGCAGTCTCTGGCTGCATTCCTGCCATGCAGCTTTCCATAAATGATTTTTAATATATACACCAACAAACAGGAAAGTACTTGTGGGTCCTTAAGGCTCCCTGTCCGGGCTTTTGATCAGCAATACTGGTCTGTCTCACTGTGCTTGTTGTCACTGCAGAGTTAATTCATTTTATAACTTGTGTCCACTCCCCTGAACTCAAGTCCTGTTCATACGCAAAAACCCTTTAGTGTGGTGGTGCCTTTAACTCGACTTGGTTGACCTATCAGGGTATGTCTACGCTGCAGCAGGGAGCATGCCTCCCAGCCCAGATAGACAGGGTGGACATTGCAGCTTGTGTGGCAGCCCGACCCTCTGGGTCTGAGCTCAAGTAGATAGCTTGAGTCTCCACCAAAGCCACAGCACCCACACAGCTATTTTTAGTGCACTAGCTGGAGTCCAGCTAGCACAAATTTGTCTACCCACACTAAGAGGTTTATACGCACAGGCACACACACACACACTCACTGTTTTCAGTGAAAACATCACCTGAGTGTTAACTTGCAGTGTGGCTCCTCTCTCTCAAGCCAGGCTAACTTGAGAGGGGTTACTTCGAGTTTTGATAATTTGAGATAACTCTGCATTGATGAATAGCCTTTAAGATCCTGAACCTAATTAGAGCCCATTGCCCCTAGGTAGCATCAAGCTAGCAGTGCTTCCCTGAGCAGACTCTTGCTAGAAGTTAACCCCCAAGCCCCACAAGCTGTGAGCTGGCTCAATGGGGTATCTTCCTATGGGCACTATGGGACTGGGGGTTTTGCGGGGCTGTGCAGTGTCTTCCAGTGATCAGCAAAAAACCCGCATCCCCCCACCACACAGTCACTTTTCAGATCAGAACGATACTTTAAGCTGTGCCACTCGTTATTATTTGTATTGATTACAAGACTGCTTCCCATAGCTGCCAAGTTCTCTGCAGTCCCATACACAACATTTCTCGCTGGTGAGAAAAAGCAACTGATGTTTCACCCTTAAGAGCAAGGGTGTGTGGGGAAAACAGAATCTATCTCCTGCATGTCTCAGAAACCAGAGGGACCTGGGGGAGCCAGAGGACCCCAGAGTATTAGAGGGAGTTGGATTGCTGGGATGGCTTGCTGTGAAAGAGAGCATGGAAGGGGGACGTATATATGGCTGTTGGGAGGAGAGAGCCTGGAGAAGAATTACTGGGGTGAGAAAAGCTGGAACAGCCTGAGGGGGTGGTTGTCGTTGGATGAGATGGGAAGAGCCTTCCTGGGGCAGCTTGGGGAGAGAGTTGTTGGAGCCAGTGGTAGGGACTGGAGGACTGGAGGATTGTTAGGGATGTGGGGGCCCTGGATCAGCTACCCTCACCCTGCCTCAGCCTCTCCCCATTAGCCTCCTTAGTTCTGTCCCCTTCCCGTTCTGGCCCCAACTGTCCCATCAGCCCCCTATTCTGTTCCATGCCCCTCCCTTTCAGATGCTGTCTCTGCCTCCCAAGAGGCACACCGGCAAAGGGGATCAAAAACAAAATGGAGGCAGAAAGGCTCCGAGTGCTGGGAGGAGGAATTGTAGGTGTCTGTTGGTGGATGTGAGAGATGTGAATGTGTGAGATCTCAGCAGAGATGTGGGTTTGTGGGACAGGGCTTTCAAATGCAAAATTCCGGAATGTCTTGAAGGGGTGAAGAATCCATGCTTTGTTTGTTTACTTACTAACTTACATAATTCGGTAATTTTCCTGTCCTTAGTACACATTAGTAATGTTTTACTTGAATCCCGTGTCTCTTATCTAGTCTGAACTCAAGTAGCTAACACAGTAAAATACTTTAATGAAAGCAGATGAGTCTTCTGAGATTTTGCTGCATCGCAATATATTAAGTTAGTCATATTTTCTGAGAATGTTCAAGGGAACAAAAATTAGGGTATTTGTATGAGTACAAAAGAGGCCTCAAGGAGTTGTTATAGACAGAGTCCAAATGGAGGATAACTGGGTGACTCAGTCAGGGGTGGGATATAGAGCTTGTCATCTTCAGGTTACTGTTTCATATCTAACACGGGCTTGTTATGAGCATATGCCTAGAACTGATCTGACACCAGTCTGACTTTACAGGAGTTTCTCCTGACTTACACTGATGTAAGCAAGATCAGAATCAGGTCTCTCAAGTCTTCACTGTTTGAAGGCTGTTTGGTGGCCTCTACATAACTTATGAGTAAGGCTACGTTTATGTCATGCACAGGGCCGGCTCCAGGCACCAGCCGAGCAAGCTGGTGCTTGGGGCGGCAGCTTGTAGGAGGCGGCATTCCGCCCAATCCTAGGGCGGCACTGCTGCTTTTTTTGTTTTTGTTGTTGTTGTTGTTGTTCCGCTCCGGCCGCCCTGTAGGGGGCAGCGGCATGGAGGACGGGAGCGCCCTGCAGCAAGCCCGGCAGGGCAGCCCGCGTCCTTCCCTCCCAGCCGACCGGAGTGGTGCAGAGCCCTCCCGGCAGGGGGCATGGTGGAAGGTGCCGCGTGGCAGTGCCCCGCTGAAGTCCTGGCCGCCCCCCTTCTCTCTCTCCCCCCGCTCCCTCCCCTTCCCCCCCGCTAGCCGGGGCACATCCTGGCTCCGGCCGCACCACAAGTTTTTTTTTTTTTGCTTGGGACGGCCAGAAAGCCAGAGCCGGCCCTGGTCATGCAGGTCATGAAAGTCATGAAATCTGTGACTTCCAGAGACCTCTGTGACATTTTCTGCTTCAGCCCCTGGGGCCATGGGACTGGAGCTGGCAGCCAGCGGGGCCAGACAGGGTTCAAGCTGTGGGCAACAGCCTCCTCAGGGTCCCCCTGCAGGGTTCCAGTGACAGGTAACAGTTTCCTCAGGGTCTCTTTGCAGGGTTCCCACAACAGGCAACCGCCTCCTTAGGGGGGCCCTCCTCAGGGTTCCAGCGACTTTGGTAGATAATCTCACTATTGCCTACCACAAATCTGACAAATGGTTGGTAGACTTCTTGTTTTTGAAAATACAATAGCAACACATTCTCAGACTGCATGCTTTTTAAAAATTCCTTTTCATTGTTGTTGATAACATAGCTAGACTATGATTACCATATTGTGCTAAAATATTAGATTTTTTTTCTGTGTACAGTCAATTTTTAAAACCTAAACCAAACTTCTATTTAGTTAAAAATCTAATTTTAGGCTAGGCTAATCCTCAAATTGTGAATAAAGTCCTCAATAATATAAAATGACTGAAAGATGGATTTAATAGTTCTTTGTGTTTAACTCTAAGCTTTGAATCAAAAGAAGGTACAATACTGGATTTAAAATCCCTTTCTTTGATTGATACCTCTTTACATGGCTTTTCAGTTTAAGATGTTTAAGCTGGAATTTATCTGCTGAAGTGAAATGTAATTGTATTTGTAAATAAAATTATTTTTTCTTCATGTTGCAGAGTACAGACAACTCAAATGTATCTGTAATTGCCCAGAACAAGAAGTGCTTTGACAATGACATTGTTTGCTCTAAGAGCGTTTTGATCTCTGTTGGAGACACTGAGATTTATTTTAGTGAACCTTCTGACAAACAGGTTAGTTGTTCTCTTTCCTTGTTTGGATGACCCTTTAAAGTACATGTCTGAAACACACAAATTTAATTTATTAAACTGAGTCTCATTCAATCTAAAGTATCAAAAACATCCAAGCTTGATGTAGCTTGGGTCCCCATGAAAATTCTGTTTGTTCACTGCTTTTTCAAGCCCCCTCTCCCTTTCCCCTTCCACACCCATATTGGTCCCACTGGGAAGAATGCTTGGCTGCCGCTGCTCCAATGGAGCCAAGGAGTTTTTGAATTCATTTGTTTCTGTCCATGTGCTTTTATGACGGAAGGCAGCATCTGAGCCAAAATAACTACAAATAAAATAAAAATTCTTAAAACAAAACAGCTGAGGCAATGCTCCCTAGTTGCTCGATAACATGCTAGGGTTAAGCTATACTTTAAAATACTCTTTGGGCTAGTTATTAGTTGGCTGTATGTCTTGGTTGAATGCATTATAGAATTGCTGTTGTAGATCTTTCACAAATATCCATTTCTGACAGAGGACCGCAAGGGGACGGGAAAAAAACCCAACATATCAGCTTTGGAAGGCTGGATATTATACAGTGGTACACTTTCCAGAACAGGAAATTACAATCCTGTGGGACAAGAAGACAACGATACATGTCAAAGTTGGACCTCGGTGGAAGGTGAACCAAATTGTAAACTTGATATACAATGTATTTTATATTACAAAGAGGTTCATTCATACTGAAAGAAATACAGTGTGGGGTGGAAATATGGGGAGGCCCTTGGAATTCAGTGTATTAACATTTTATCTTTGGGCACTTTTGAAACCTGGTTTAGATCACAAAGCAAAGATGGATCCAAAGCAGAATATTGGATATAAACTCCTTGAACTTGGATTTCCCCCCCCCAGATACGAACCTCATAGCTGAGGCCATTATGTGGTCACAAGTTCTATGACTTTGATGGTCTCACTCTTGGTGTATATTTATCAATAATCTAAAAACCTTGGCACAATTTAGCAGAATTCAGCCCAATACATTCTGCTAAGAATCTCAGCTGGTATGTTGCAGGTCAAGTAACAGCAACATTTATAGCAACATATAAGAAATTGAATGCTGGCTGCCTACACTATTCCTGGATTAAGCTAGCACTGTCATTCTTTAACTCTCATAAGCAATAATAAAATGAAATTATCTCAAATTGAGAAAAATAAATACAGGCCAAATTGTGATTTCATTAGGAGTTCTTGAGGAATATGTTACTATTTGGCATAAGCAAGTGTGTCAGAATCTGCCTTTAAATGAGTAACAAGTACTCGTAGAGTCTGAGGTTTGCACTAGATATTGAAATCAATATCTTTGCTTGTCTTCTAACTGTAGGAGTGTTACATTGGTAAAGCTGCTTTCAGTCAGGTTATTTTAGTAATTCAAAGATGTTTCAGGTAGTAGCACGAAGCATACTGTCAAGATGCTTTCAGTGCTCCAAATGCAACTGTTGACTTCTGTGGAATAATCATTATTGTCTTTGTTTTTAATTGACATCCCTGGTAATACATTCCACTGCTCTCCTGTGACATTCAGGTATTAGTGTAACCCAAATTAAGGCGAGAAGAGACCGAGATGAATCAGTTGTAGAACAGACAGCTCAGTTTATTAAATACTCACATTTTGGGGTTAAAATAAACACTGGCAAACACCCAGCCAGGGAAAAGGATCTAGAAAAGAAATAGGAGACACTCTCTGAGCGCCTACCAAGGGTATGTTTAAATTGCAGTCAGAGGTGTGACTTCTGCACATGTAGACAAACCAGATCTAGCTTTGATCTAGCTATCTCCAGTAACAATAGCCGTGACAGCAGCACAGGCTGTACAAACCCACCCAGTTTCCTGGGGATGTACTTAAGTAGCTAGCCTGTTGCTGCTTGTGCTGTGCTATTCTGCTATTGTTATTCAAGCTAGCTAGATCGGGTTTGTCTACACATGCTACAGTCACACCTCTGACTGGAGTGTAGACATACCCTCAGTGTCAACCATGAATGCACATGCTCAGAGCGGGGTTCTGAAGGGGCCCCTCAGCAAGAGGAGTTATAGTGCCCATAGAAGGACACCAATACATCACACACTTCTCCCCGTCACACACACCTTTCTCAGAGACTTCAGCTCAACCAAAAAAGGGGCTGCAGTAGTAGGACCTAAAGCGCATGCCCCAGTATTAAGAGTGCTACAGGTGACTGGCTTGTGCATAACTGTTGATATGAATGCCCTCGCTATTCTAACTTGGATATAGGAAAAAGGTCTTAATGATCATTATTTAGTCAGGCTCCAATGGTTTGCGGTAATGTATCAGAACTTTTGGCTTTTGACTTGGATCGTACAAATGTCAGCTTTTAGAGGGAGTTTTGTAGAGACCCCAGTCCCTTTATTCAGTCAGAAAGTAAAGATACATTCTGGGAAGCAGAAAATAGAATAACAAATGAAAATATAATTTTCAGCTTTTAAAACCTTTAGTTCGGAGGTCTAAATATAGTGGCACTTCAAATATCATCAAAGTGTGAGTCAGGGTTATAATCACCCTGTAAACTTGATATTAAGGCAACATTAATTTAGTTTCTTCTCCCTTAAAACTATTTAAAAAGTAAAACCAAAAATGTTTGACCACTGTCAGTAATCAAACTGTAATTACAAACCAATCAAAAGATGTTTAAAATTTTTCAATTTATGTTTTAGGGTAAATTAGCAGGTTTGTGTGGAAATTTTGATAAATATACTTCAAATGATCTGACTACATCAAACAACATGGAAGTGAGAAATGCTCAGGTTTTTGGAGAGAGCTGGGCAATAGGACAGGTAAGTAACATATCTGTTCACCAACTTAGAAATAAACAGTATGAAAAGTTAATTACTGTAAAAAAGAACATGTAAACATTTAGAGTGCATTTTCCAAATTGCCAGTCAAATCAATGCATGGGAGGGACATTTGAATACTTATGGAAGAATCTTTGTCTATAAACTTTATATGTGGTATAAAGATACCCCTGTATCTCAGTAAGTAGATGATGTTGAGTTTAAATGAAAAACCAAACCAAATAATTTTGGGGATGGTTTTTAGGAAACAAAATAATTGTTTTACAACAGAGTCCTGGTGCATGCTATAGCGATACCAATTTTAATATTAATATATAGGAAAAACTAGAATCTGCAAATTTCACATCTAGATCTGAACTTCCCCAAAGTTTGGGAATCTGGTATTTTGGACTGGGTCCAACTTTAAGAAAATCTCTTGTTATTTCTTCTCCCATGTTAGAGGCCTCTGTTGAAGTAAGCATGTTCTGACTGTCAGAACTGTCATCTGCAAATCTTAGAATTTGCCTGCATGCAAATGATAGCAGGACAGACTATTTCCACAGTGTTGGGCTAGACATCTTGACTCTCTGGGTGCTGTGCCCAGAATGGCCTATGAAATCAGATTCAGGTTCACTCAGTGATTTTAAAAATGTGGTTTATAAACAAAGATTAATCTAGCAGAGAAGATGAGATCAAATGATGGTTGCTAGTAAAAGGGGCTGGGGTACAGGGAGCATCAGTCACCAGTTCTCTACAAGTCTATTTGGTTGTCTGAAATTTAATACATAACTGGCATTTAGGGTGACTAGATGTCCCGATATTTCGGTGTCCCGATATCCGCCAGCAGCACTGTTTTTTTTTTTTCTCAGCCAGCAGGACTCGGCTTTTTTTTTTTTTTTCTCTCTGCCGGCGGGCACCCCCCCCCCTTTGTGTCCCGATATTTTCTTCCCCTCATCTGGTCACCCGACTGGCATTGCCTGGTATAGTTAGGAAAACCTTATTAAAAGGTCATCTCCCTGCTAAAGCAGAATTGTTCCTGAGAGTAATTTTCTAGTATTTTGTCCAGGCTAATTTTAAAATTCTCAAGTGATGGAACTTCCATCGTTATTTCACAGCTTAATATATCTCCCCAAAGGGAAATTTCCCCAAATTTTCCCTTTCTTAATTTTCTTCAATTACTACTTTGTTATAAACCTGTGTGTCACCAAAATAATTTCTTTCCCTCCTTTGTGTTAATGCCCCCAAACATTATAGACCAGGGGTCGGCAACCTTTCAGAAGTGGTGTTCCGAGTCTTCATTTATTCACTTTAATTTAAGGTTTCGCGTGCCGGTAATACATTTTAACGTTTTTTAGAAGGTCTCTCTCTATAAGTCTATATATTATATAACTAAACTAGTGTTGTATTGTAAAATAAACAAGGTTTTCAAAATGTTTAAGAAGCTTCATTTAAAATTAAATTAAAATGTTGATCTTGCGCTGCTGGCCTGCTCAGCCTGCTGCTGGTCTGGGGTTCTGTTCACCTAGGCCGGCAGCGGGCTGAGTGGGGCCTGCGGCCGGGACCCCGGCTGGCAAGGGTCCGGCAGCCAGAATCCCAGACCAGCAGCAGGCTGTGCGTGGCCGGGACCCCAGATCGGCAGTGGGCTGAGCAGCTCAGCCCACTGCCGCTCAGGGGTTCCATCCGCCGGCTCCTGCCAGCCGGGATCCCAGCTGCTGGACCCACTCAGCCCGCTGCCAGTCTGGGGTCCCGGCCCTGCCCTGGTTCTGGCCCTGGTTCTGGCCCTACCTTCTCCCTGGTTCTGGCCCACTCTCTTCCTCTCTCTGCTCTGAGCTGAGGGTGGGAGTGCACTGAGCACAGGGCTGGGGGTGAAGGGTCAGGAGCTAGAATGAGGGAGGGGGCTCAGGGTTGGGGCAGGAGGTTTGGGTGTGGGGCACTTACCTGGGCAGCTCCCATTTGGTACGAGGGGTGCAGGTGGGAATGTGGTGTGTGTGTTTGTGTGTGTGAGCTTCCATTTGGTGCTCAGGGTGGGGGTGGGGATGTGGGGGGATGCATAGGGTGGGGGGCAGGGTATGTGGGGGGTGCAAGAGTCAGGGCAGAGGGTTGGGGGCATGTGAGGGGAGTGCAGGTGTCAGGGAAGGGGGGGCTGGGTATGTGTGGGGGTGCCAGAGTCAGGGCTGGGGTCGTGGGGGGGGGGTGAAGGAGTCCAGCAGAGGCTGGGTGTGTATGAGAGGGGTACAGGGCTCAGGGCAGGGGTCTGGGGTGAGTGCGGGGCACAGGGCACAGACCTGGGGTGTGTGCGGGGCTGCGGGGCTCAGGGCAGAGGGCTGGGTGTATGTGGGGGGGGTCAGGGCTCAGGGCAGAGAACTGGGGTGTGTGGGGGGGTCACGGCAGGGGGTTGGTGTGTGTGTGCCCCTATTCCACCCCACCTTCCCCAAGGCCCTGCCCCCGCTTCTTCTCTGCAGACCCTGAGACTCCCATGCCCCATCCAACCCCCCCTGCTCACTGACTGGCCCCTCCAGAGACCCCCCACCCCTAACCAGCCCACCTGGGATCCCACCCACTATCCAACCCACCCTGTCCCCTGACTGCTCTGACCCCTAATCACCCTCCGTCCCTGACAGACCCCGGGACTCCCATGCCCCATTCAACCCCCCCGTTCCCTGACTGCCCCCTTCAGAGACCCCCCCGTCCCTAACCATCCCGCCCGGGATCCCACCCCTATCCAACCCACCCTGCTCTCTGTCCCCTGCCTGCCCCCACCCCTTATCCAACCCCCCCGGACCCCTTACCATGAGGTTCCTAGCAGCATGTTCTGCTCCGCGCAGAGCCAGACACGCTGCCCCGCCCCTCAGAGCGCTGCGCGTGCGGTGACATGGCTCCAGGGGAGGGGGGAAGGCGAGGGCGGGGCCGGTGGCTTGCTGCACTCGGCCGGGTGCTCCGGCCCGGGAGCGCGGACCCCGCGGCTTGCCGCGCCGGAAGAGTGGGGCCATTTGCCCACCCCTGCATCAGAGTGTGCCTGGGCACACCCTGTGCGCACGCCTATGCTTCTGCCCCCTGCCCCCGTAGGGGGGGGAGGGAGAAGAGCAGGCTGGGCCGGGCAGGAATTTTAATGGCATGCTGCTCCAGCAGGCAGCAGCGTGCCATTAAAAATTGGCTCACGTGCCGTCTTTGGCACACGTGCCATAGGTTGCCAACCCCTGTTATAGACTGATATCATGTCTCTACTTAGCCAGCCAATACATATTTTACTCTCTTTAATCTTTCCTCACAAGGAAACCACTCTAGTCTCCCTCATTATTCTTTCACTTTGTCCATATCTTTCTGGTAATGTGGTGGCCATAACTGAACATGATATTCTCTGTGCAGCTGCATCAGATCATCAGAAAAGAGATCATAACGTTCTGCTCCATGACGTGGTGCCTTTGCTTACACAGCCCAGCTTGCTCTGGCTATTTTTGGAGCTGCATACTGTTGCAAAGTCATGTCTAATTTCCTGTCTGTGATCAGCACTAGGTCTCTGTCACCATTGCTACTTCCCAGATTTTTCTTTCCCACCCTGGTTACACACGTTGGATGAACCTGCATTCAGCAACTTGAGTGTCCTTTTGTTAAACTTTCCTGCCCATTTGTTTTTCATTTTGAAGGAGGAGATTCAAAAAGGGAGTTGAGTATCTCCGTCATTTTTGAGTTATCATGATGATCTTTGGCTCTTTGTTTTTTATGAGTTAATCTGTTCCTACTGCTGCTTCTTCATTTGAATATATAGGGCTAAATCATCCCTAGTGTGATGCCTTTTAAAGTCAATGGCAAAACACCAGGGATGGATTTGCCCCATGATGTTCTGTTTGTGATGTTACAATTGGTTGCTCTGGAAACGATTACACTGTGTCACAAATAAAAAAAAAATGTCTTCATGTATGGAGCATGAAGCAGGAACATCTGAGTTTTTAAAAACAAAAAGCAAAGGTTATTTTTCATGCAAATGTTTTCAATGATAAAACACAGGAAAGGAGGGGGGGCAAACATATTTGCTGTTTAACACTGCTTTCTCTGCTCCCTGGCAATGGGAGTTTTGCTATATCCCAAAAGTAAGTCTCTTGTAAAACAAACAAAAAACAAGAACAAAACATAGTTCATATAAATAGTTTAAACTCATTTTGTGTTTTTTTTTTTAAGTGTAAAAGCCCAAATGAAACCATAAAGCCATGTGAGGTGCATCAGAGCAAGTTCCCCTATGCCAAAAGGGAATGCTCAATTTTGTACAGTGATGTTTTTGCCCCTTGTCGAAATGTGGTAAGTTTATACTTTATTAACTATTCAAAGATGAACATATTGATTCTGAATCTCTGGTAGCAAAATACTCAAGAGTCAGTAATTAATTCCTTGTTACAGTACAACTGAAAGCCATTGACTCAGCCCCCAGTGCTGCAAGGATTTCTGTGTGGGTGAACTCCTGTGCTTGTACAGAGCTCCTTGCAAGATTGGAGCCAAAGTCCGGATCATAAAGCTATAGGACAGTTGGTGGGATTTTCAGTATTATTAGATGTCATGGACATGACCCTCTTTCAGATAACGGAAAGTTTTGGGTTACCAGTTTGGAAAATCAAGTTTCTACTGTATTAGTGTATTTGTACATGATACGTACCTACAAATTTCTATGTTGTTAACTAAGTTTAAGACTATTCACATGCATCAAGGGATTCTGAAAATTTGATAACCACAAGCGTTAAATGCACATGATATGAGCAGTTGGAGACACATGTATAGCTTTCATCTCAGGTGGCTGTCTTCTGTCATTTGTCCTGCTCAATCTGTATATGAGGATGCTGGGGGAGAGAGTGAGAAGATTTGGATGTCAGAGCCATGATAACGTAATTGACTGGCAACTAACCTTTTTATCAAATGTGTGGTGTCTTGGCTTTGCTGGTACCCGGCTAATAGGGGCTTGGATTACAGCAACTTGTCTAAGGCTCAATCCAGGCAAGGTGGAGATGATGCAGATAGGTTGAGGAAAGTGTGACAAGGGAAGTCTCTGCTCCCATTAATAAGGGTGTTTGCTGAGCCTTTATCAAATAGTTTGTAATCTGCATGTTTGTCTGGATTTCTGATTGTATCTGCCTATTCAGGCGCCTTCAGTTACCAAAAGGGCCTTTTTACTGCTAGTTCGTGCTGCTGCAGTTTACTGCTATTGCAAGCCAAACTAGATAGATTAAAGCTAGCTCGAGTATGTCTACACATGCAGGTATGCTGGAACAATTTGTCTAGTGGGGGTACTGAGATCCATTGAACCAAACTGTAAATCCTGTAAATGATGGAAACCACTTCAAGCCAAGGGGGTATGCCCCTAGTTCCAGCACCTATGTACACATGCTGCAATTACCCCCCTTAATTGCAGTGTAGGCATTGGTGCTTGCCACAGTTGTTCTTTATGACTTCTAGACATAACGAATGGTATCTCCAGATGGCCTATCAGAAACTGAATCTCTTAACTTTCAGGGCATGGTGTAAGGACTACCAATTTGGTCAGAAATTTGCCTGATGGAGCAGTTACAGTGTTGTACGTAGTTAAACTATGGAGTGAGTAGATTTACTCATATTGACATTAGCCAATATTTTAGGAATTTTTTGAGCATCAGCCTGTGATGAATATATTCTCAAAATATAAAATAGAAATAGAAATGGAATCCTCAGAAGGTAAACTTTTTTCTCTAAAAACAAACAAAAACTTAAGAATTCTGTTTTTTGTTGTGCACTCACTTTTCTCTATTTTACCAGTGTTTGGGATCATTTTCAAACAATGGCACTTAAATTGCATTGGCAAAATTATGTTCACGAGAATTCACCTCACGTGCAAAACATATGCATATCCAATTGCGTATTTGCATATGTACACATACCTTTGGTGTGCAACACATTTTGCAGTTGCAAGTACATTCCAGGTGTATATACCACTTAGACCTCATTGTTTGAAAATTTGGCTCATGGTGTCTTCATAGTTTTCGGTAAAGCAGCCATTCTGAGTTATTGATTGTGATACAATTTCTGTAGACCTAAAATGTGTTACCAATGATTGATTTAAAACTACTAAACTAAGCTCCTCACTGTTTAATATTTCCAGCTTTTAGAATTGCAGTAAGAATTTTTATGATGATTTAAGGTTGCCTCAGCCTGACAAAGGGTTATTTTATAATTCAAGTTGCAAAAATAATGCAGTAGTTTCTTTCTTTTTAAGTTTTAGAGTTCTGAACGGCATGGGGAAGCAAATGGATGTGTGGGCTAATGTAAATCTGGGGAGATATAAGACAAATGAGAGAGAAAATCTTGAAAACACAGAAATATTTTATTTTTGTTTCAATGACAACAGCTCCAGAAATGCAGTCACTTTTTCTCAGACATTCTATTTCTTGCCAGAGAACTACACTGATTTTTTTTTAAAGTAAAGTAAATCGACTTGTAAAATTGCTCATCAAGCTCTTCCTTTCACGTTGTTAATGTAAAACTACAGATGTTACACTAGATGGCAGAATTTGCCTTATAAGAATAGAAAATCACGAACTTTGGCTAAATGTTGTAACCATTGCAAATGTTCATAATCACTAAATAGCAAGCGTGTTGGCGGGCGTACCACATGAACTTTATGATATACACTTTTAGTTTTCTAGACAAGCAACGTTGTTTGGGCAACTTGAAAGTTGTTCAGTGTTCTTCATCAAGACTTGAACACACTATTGGGAGCCTGCAGCTGTACAGTACTGCTATTGTTGGGAATCACACCCTGTGCAATGACAGACCTCCCTATGAAGACAATGACGTTACTGTGTGTGCGTGATTGTGCACAGGGGGTGGAGGGATGCTACTGCAAGATCAGTCAGTGCTAGCCTGTGTGGACAACTCTAGTTATACCTATGTTAAAAGATAAAGTAATTTACCCAGGCATTAGAAAATGTTCAGATTTCTATGACAGACTTTGAGGGTTGAATTCTGCTGTCTTTCTAAACACAGAATTCAATTTGAAATTGGTGGGAATTTTGGTGCAAAGTGATGGCAAGGTGGGGCCCGCACGTTCAATTGCTTTTTTTCCCCTTCACTTTTCAGATTGATGTGACTTCATTTGTCAAAAATTGCCATACAGACACATGTAATTGTAATCTTGGTGGGGACTGTGAGTGTTTGTGTACAAGCATTGCAGCTTATGCTTACAAATGCTGCCAGCAGGGTGCAGCAATTCATTGGAGATCTCCCTCTGTCTGTCGTAAGTACATGATTGATCATGTCCCCAGAAACCACAATAAAGAAACACCAGATTATCTGACCTTTTAATGATTGATTTCTGTTGACACATAAGGAAAAAGAAAAGATTAAAGTTCTCATTGACAATACAAAGTATCTGAAGTGGGATAGGAGAAGCTATAATATATATGTACTTCTGCTCTAAATTTTTCATGCAGTCCATGCATTAACAAGTTAGTCATTTAGAACTGGATTTACAGCCCTCTATAAGGAAACGGGCTATGATCACAATATTTTTGTATAGGTCCATCAATGGCTATTAGCCAGGATGGGCAGGGATGTGTTCCTAGCCTCTGTTTGCCAGGTGCTGGGAATAGGTGACAGGCAGGGCTGGATAAACTTTCCTGTGGGCCTGGGGCTATTAGATTTTGTGAGGCCCCCATATACAAGTCTTTTTTTCTAATTTAAAACAAAATGATCACAATTATGGCATCGAGGCTATTAACACTATACTAAACTTGCCTTTTAATTAACATAAAGCCATTTTGTGATTACATTTCAGTTTTAAAACTGTAGACTATAGTTAAGTTAATTCAAAATAGCCTATTTCTTACCTTAGAACAGCTGTTACATTGGTTTCTTTCTGGGAGGGAGTTTGGGTGCAGGA